AACTTAACAGTTATAATTATATTCGATACTAACTTAAATTATTTTTATTTACATATTATTAACCTTAACCAAGTCACGAAAACGCTATAGGGCACGGTTACTGTTTTATAATTCGTTTTATGCCATTTTTCATTAAAATTCTTAGGGCTTTGGGCGATAAGTTCCGGCTCAGCTGTCGACTCTTTAATGGGGTTCTCCTTAATAGAGTTAAGACTCTTCCGACTTCAGAAAAGCCCTTAAAAAGATGTTCGATACGATTAATTCAGCTGATCGAGCTGGCCAAAAAGGCAAGAGTTAAAGCGCTTTCCAATAGCGTGGGTTACATCTGCCCCACCCAGTCTTATCTCCAGTGGCATTGAATTTACAGACTTGAACATTTATAATCTTGTGTATAGCAGCAGCAGGCTCAGCCAACACATTGAGGCGCATTTGAGTACGTGACAAAGCAGAAAAAAAATGACAATTGAAAACTCGTTACTCTCCATATGAGGCCAACACAGTTAGCGTGGATTGGGAGTAATTTCAAACCACATTCTCACATGCATCACAATCATGACCAATCATGATTATATGGATCAACGGCAACGCCAGTCCATCAGGTAACTTCCTGTGGCTGTAATGGTGTTTCGGCAAAAGCTTGTGGATTATCCTCACTCAGAATGCAACAAATCTGATTATGCGATAGCACAAAGTCATGCTAAAGTGGGTTGCATCAGTTTGATTGCCATATAATGAATGAAGTGCACATTGAGAGAGATCTCAGCAGATCCCTAAGATATAGGTAGATATAAACAACTATATATTACTATATTACTATATTACTATATTACTATATTACTATATTACTATATTACTATATTATATTACTATATTACTATATTACTATATATAGGGTGGGTGACTCCTAAATATTGTGGAAAAGAAAAAACATTCCCATTTATCACTTTCTTTTTTGTCTAACATCTAGTCACACTATTTATATGATCGCAGATGTAACTAGAAAGAGAGTGAGAGAGGGAGAAAGAGAGAGAGAGAGAGAGAGAGAGAGAGAGTTCAACCGCCATGAGTCTCTCCTACCCTCAGCCAAAATATCGATATTAGCATAAATGAAATTTGATATACATATATTTCTCTCCCAGAGATCTCTTACTATCCCATCCCCACGCTAAACATCTATACTTACCTAAACGTAATTCTGAGCGAGGATTAGGCACTCGCTAGCTTAAACTTGGATATATACTTTACCCCACGCATCAGCGTATTAAATCAATAGAACCACATCTCACAGATCCATGCTAAACATCTATATATGTAATTCTGAGCGAGGATTAGGCACTCGCTAGCTTAAACTTTGATATATACTTTACCCCATGTAGCAGCGTATTAAATCGATAGAGCCACATCTCACAGATCCATAGACAGATCTGTTGCTATTATCAACTATTGCAATTCAAATACGCTTCTCATGAAGCTCTAACTCCGAGCGAGTATTAGGCCGTCACTATAGTCCGCTTCAGGCTTCAATCATCGCTCGTCTGTGCACTTTCAGCCGGATTACCATTTTAAGCATGGCTCGCACCATAAGCGGCTTACATCGGGCTATTAAGCGCATCAAATGGTTGGGAAGTCCCCAAATGGCAGCGCCGCGCAGTAGGCAACAGTTTTTGTCGCTGCTGTTGTTGCTCTTACTTATTCATGTTTCTGCTTCAATATGTCATATGAGCTGCCAGTTTTTTGGGTACATATCTCCATATACATATATGTATGTGCAGCTGGCCTTTATCAATTTCAGAACTGACAGTTGTCATGCAAAATTCATGTGATATGCCCTTTGAATAGCTTGGCTAGCTATGCGACATGTATGTCTGTCGGGCACAGCATTTACTCGTTTCGATATTGATATATGCACGGGCCAAATAATTTTTTTTTTTTTTTTTTTTGTGAATTGTTGTTTTTACTATTCCAATGAAAAGGCAAAGCTACGGGTATGAGCTCTCATGTGAAAAGAGGAATGACAGATCGGTCGAGCGAGCTGAGTTGATATAGTCACGACCATCTGTTCGTATGCCTATCTGTCAGTCCGTCTGTCTAACTGTTCACATGAGTTACTACTGCTTGAGATTTTCAATTCTGAAGATAAAGTATTGTATTATGTATAATCGATAAAAATCGATAATAATATATTGTGCATTATGCTATCGATAATAATATATTTGGAATATATAGTACTGTATTATGTTACGAAGCATTATTCTATTACATTGTCGATGCTGCAACCCATTTTGCTGCTATCGATAATAATCTATAAACGTATTCCTTAATAGTAGAGGTTTTGTGACTTAGTATATAGACACATAGGCTTATTAGTATTACAATCTGAAATTTTGATTAAGAGAGTCCATCTGGAACAATAGTTATTTCGCAAGTTCCTAAGTGAAGCCCTTAAGTGCAGTCCAAGCGCAGTCACTGCGCAGTAAGCAGCGCGTGTGCTTATGTGTGTGTGAGAGAGTCTGTATGTGGGTGTATAAGTGTTTGTGTTTTGGCTCTGAGTCAATGATTGGAACAGCAGCTCCGCAGGGTACTTCACGTTTTCTATCTGTATACTCCTGTCTAGCGCCGGCTTGGCCGAATGATTGGAACAGCAGTTTTGCATGGCAAATAAGCTCCCCTCAGAGTGAATGCTTGAAGCGCTTGCTCTGCAGCCAAAGTCAGCTCTTCAGGGTGATTCCTAGTCGAATACTCCCTTAATTGGAAGAGCAGCTTTGTAGGGGAAATCAGCTTAGTTTTTCCTAAGCTCCTCTGACTGAATGCTTGAAGCAAGAAGCTCCTTCAGCTCTTTAGGGTATTTTCTTGTCGAATACTTCTGTTCAAGGCTCTCCGACCTGTGCCTTTAAATTTTTCGGTCGCCGTTCCCAAGGGAAAAATAATATATTGACTTGGTGCCTTTCATTTACATTTTCATTTTCATTTTTATTTCCTTCTTCCCTTCAGTTTTCATGTTAAAGTTCTTTGCTCACCTTTTTGGCTAATTCCCGTGTGCACAAAGCCATAAGCTTTAAGGCATTTTGCATATGAAATGAATTTTCAGCTTTGCATCTCAAGTCGAGACAATTTTGACTCAGAGATTGATTAAAGACGAGTAGAGAAAAGCGCTTTGTTTCTTGGAGCTGATTGATGCTTCATAAGCTCTGAGAATTTGTTAGATATTTTCTAATGATGAATGAATCTGTCCCACATGAAAAATTAATGAATATTTATATGAGTAACAAGACAAAAGTAATTCCAGTTTGATTCAGCTCAGCTCCGCTCAGTTTCTCTGCTGTTCGGTAAGGCCAGTGAATTGCAGAAAGATGACCAGCGAATCGATGATGAAGAACAACATCTGTAAACAAATAAGATGGAATTAAACTACCAGCACATTGATTTCGCCTAGGCCTACCCCACTCAGAGTCTTAAGATTCAGATGGTAAATGCCACAGACTTCGAATTGCACCGAGTTTTGCATGATCTGCAGCGAAAAGTCTTCCGTTTGCTTGCGTGCGATTGAGGTGCGTGCTCCAATCCCATTTCCGTTTCCGCTTTCACTTCCGTCTGATGGCTGCCGCCGCCAGGCGCCATTAATCACCACAGGCGCCATAATGCACCAGCAGCTGCTTTGACTGCGAAACGGATTATTTGGAACTATTTTTAGCCAGAGGCTCGCTGGGTAGATGGACACACTTACGCGCTGGGCACAGCTGTCGCAGACGGCGCACAGTGTCCAGATCTTGATGATGGTGGGCAGAACTACGTAGACGGTCTGCCAGAGCAGCAGCCAGCCAATGTTTACGTTGGTCAGGCGCCACAGGATGATGTAGGCATAGCAGACGACAATGAAGTCGCCCATGCAGAGCACGTTCATCAGCAGCACCGACAGCCCGTAGATGCGGGAGAGCTGGCGCATCAGGCGCAAAATGTGGGCGTAGTGGGTGCGTAGCTCCAGGCTGCAGCGGTGTCCGTGCAGCAGCTGCTGCTGCAGCGAGAGCAGCTTCATGTCCAGCCGCACCACCATCAGCGACATCTGCAGGTAGCGCGCTCGCACCGCCTGCGTCGTGTACAGTTCGCGCAGGCTGGGCAGCAGCTGCTGGCCCATGATCGTCTGGAAGAGGGCCCGGTTCGTCGCGCAGGCGACAATGAAGCACTCGAGTGCCACGTGCAGGCGTAGATTGAAGCCCGTGGAGTTTGGCCCGCCAACAGACGGTAGCTGCGCCAGGAGTCGGCGCTCGCGATTGCGCAGCAGCAACGCCTGCAGCACCATCAGCATGTGGGCCAGCAGATAGGCGAGGCTCATGGCATCGATGATCTTGGCGTAGGTGCCGAAGTGCTTCTGGCGCTGATTGTACACCTCACTCAGCTCCCAGCTGTGGGCAAAGTAGCGCCACACCTGCCGACACATGTCGCCCATCACCAGGGCCAGGTAGCTGCTCAGCAGCCGCTGCGCCGCCGGCTTCTGGGCGCTGCAGGTGAGCGCCAGCAGCCGGAAGTAGCCGGACAAAAGGAGCTCCGTACGTCTGCCCATAATCAACTCAACTGAACTATATATTTTCACTCGCCCTGGAGCGAAATAGAAACCTAATTAATTAGCATTACGCCATATCGGGACAATTAATTGAAGTGGCTAACGTGGACTTTGGAAAGGATAGATGTTTATAACAAATGTTCGATAGCCAAAAAGAAATTTTTAAATTGTTTACTTTACCCTGTGAACTTTTCTAATAATTGCAGGAGTTAATCGGGCTCTACCTCTACCTCTACCTCTACCTCTACCTCTACCTCTACCTCTACCTCTACCTCTACCTCTACCTCTACCTCTACCTCTGCCTCTACCTCTGCCTCTACCTTAGCCTCTACCACTACGTCTATCACTACTTCTATATTAATATGAATCTCTATCTTTACTCCTACCTCTATCTCTATCTATCTTAGTCTCAGTCCCATAAGTTCTCTCTTTTTTTTTGCAGTGCTAACGGTGCTCAGTATCACCATCAAGTACAACGAATATGCGACAGACAAGGGCGGCAATATTAGCATACCCTGCATAGCACAGGGCAACATTATGTGGGTCAAGGAGCATGGCAGCAATAGCACCATTATACAGGTGATAATACATCTAAGTGAATAGAGCTTTATCTGACTATGAGCTATTGTCAAGCAATGCACATTATTTGAGCTATTTCCGTATGTGAATGCCCCCTCTCTTCCATAGACGGGTCGTATATTGGTGTTGCGCAATGTGAGCACCTCGGACAGTGGCATTTATGTCTGCTTTGCAACGGTGCCCCTCACAACAACAACATCAACGACAACAACAACAACAGCGAAACCAACAACGGCAAGGGAGCTAACCATGCCAGCGACAGCAGCAGAAGCAACTACCTCAGCGCCGCAGCAGGAGCAGGAGCTGGAGAAGGAGCAGGAGCAGGAGCGGGAGCTAGAGCCAACGCAGCCTGTCGAGGTAGAGGAGGAGCAGGAGTACCGGGCTTACCAGCGCAGCAAACTAACGGTGCGCACCACACCCGGCCCGGTGACCCAGCTGTACTTCAAGGCCTCCACCATATTGGGCTTTCTCATCTGGCGCTTCAACAAGACCCAGTCCGGTGGCTATCCCGTGCGCAGCTTCACGGCTGAGTATCGCAACATCTCGTACCGTCAGCCGCCCTACAATGCCAGCTTCGAGCACGCGTGGAGTCGCATGGACCCCATCAACATAGCGCCCAATGTGGTGAGTAGAGTGGCCCTGTCCCGACGCCCATTTCACAAGAATCATTTCCGCTACAAAATCACTTCCTTCGAGTCACAGCGCCAAATGGAGGTCTATCGGCTGGCGCCCAACACCACCTACGAGTTTCGGATATGGGCCAACAATGAGCTGGGCAGCGGCACGGTGGTCACCACCAATGTGACAACATTGCCGGAGACCAAGGAGGAGGGTAAGCGGCCACTTAGACTAGCTGTCTGCCTGTCCCACAGCCAACACCAAATACAAATACTAACTAACTAAGCTACTAACTAACTAAACTATAAATGCTATTAATAAGAATCGATTATTAAACAAAGTCTTAGTTCTAGCTAGATAAACATTCGATAGTTATCTTGCTGTCGTGCCTATCTAGTATCTATCTGTAGAAATTGCTGTTATTTGGTGTCAACTGTACGTGGCGCAGGATCTACATATATGTATATGTATGTATATGTCCTGTGCGGCGTTCTACTAGTAGTAATTAACTATTGTCTTTACAACTTGATTTATCTATAATTTCACACACACACACACACATACATACATACATATATCTAGAGAGATATATAGATGATTTTATTTCAAGTATTTTAAGTAATTCGTAATTCTGGTAATTTTGTCGTTTGTCATCATCTCTCTTTTTTCTTATCTATCTCAATTATATATATACGTACGTGCTCGAGGACCGTGCAGATCTCATACGCCTTATTAAACCCGACTTAGATAATTTCGATCCGCGCATTTGGATAGTCGCCGTCAGCATAGTGCTCGGAACACTTGTGATATTAGCCATCGGACTCTGTATTGTGCTCTCTAAGGAGTGCTATCAGGCAACGCAAATGGGTACAGCCAATTCGCCAACAACAATAGCAAATAACTGAAACTAAACTGAGATATATATCTGTATATATATATATATATGCCATGATATATGTATATGCATATATATGTATATGCTGTACATACACGATTTATGATTTGGCTAATGTTGTTGTTATTGTTGCTCGTATTTTAACAAACAAACAAACAAACAAAATGCAAACAGCATTTGTTGCTGATTCGAAAACGCAACTCGTTGCTTGTCATTGTCATAAGCATTGTCATTAGCATTGCCATTGCCAGTGTTGTAAATTAATCTGAATCCCAAATGCTTTTTAATGGACTTCAGGCACTAGAAAAAATTAATATGAAATATATCAAAAATATATATGAAATTCCGAATGTAAATATAGTGCCTGGGCTTCATTAGCGTGCTTCTTCTTATTCTTTTTTTTTTTTTTTTTAATTATAATTTTTTTTTTCATCTGCCTTTTTTTCCACACATTAGCTTTCGTTTCATACATACATACATAAGCTATGCATATTTGTATTTGTTGTCGTTGTTGTTGTTGTTGGTGTTCGATTTCGCCTTGTTTTTGGTGTTTGATTTATGCTTATTAAATATTAAATACATATGTGTATACATATATACATATATATATATTACTAGTTGTTGTAGCTACTCTTATTAACTATCATTAGCTGCAAAGCCAATATACTATATACATATATATGTACATAAAATTCCACTTGCTTATTTATCATATATAGTATAAAACGTATATATGTATATAAATAAAAATATATATACACAATATACTAGCTTTATGCATATAATACCTATGTTTTAAGTCAATAATTATATTTAGCTGCAAGCGATAAAAAGTATTGCCAACAAGATCTAAATTCAATTAGGCTAAATTGATATTCAATTCAATTAAATTTCCAATGAAATTTCGAGGAGAACATAATCAAATTCAATTATAAATAATTCAGAGTCTTGCAGTCGGGCAACATCGACTGCATAATACTCGTTCGCAGCTCAACCATATTCCAATTTTGTAGCCTGAGTTTAAAAGAGGCTTAAGGTAAAGTACATATTATATTATATTATATTCCGAGTTTCCGATATGTTAAAGCAATGCCGAATGTTGAAAGTCTCTTAGATGATTTTAAGTTCTCAACTGTAGATGCTACAGCTATACAGATTTTTCACTCTCCTAATGCGCGTTTAATATATATAGTATATATTTTTAGCCTTCAGTTGTCCAAAAGTGTTTGAAGTATAATAAATTGCTGTACCAGATAAACTCTATTAGCCACGCCCCCACAGCTTGATTGATCTGTCGAGAATGTGAACTGTAAATCATGTGCCAAATTTTAATATTCTAGCTCAAATTAAATCTTTTTGAAATTTGAAGTTTCTAAAACCTTAAATAGTATTTCTTTTAGACCAGCTACAATATTATCATATTTTCTATTATTGGGCAAGATTCGAGTATAGAGGAGTATATATGTATATTAAAATTTCAAGTCTTTGCTTGAATAGCGGAGAAATAGTTTGCTTTCATGCGGACGGATGGACAGACAAACGGATGTGCAGCCAGACAGACGGATGTTCAGATAGGGAGACAGACGGACGGAAGATATACGGATTAGCGGATAGTAGAGCGATGGACGACCGATAAAGAGACGGATAGGCAGATAGATAGGCGAATGGGCAGACAAACGGACGGGCAGATAGACGAACGGAAGTAGGACGGACGAGTGGATAGCGAGTAAAACGAACGGATGAGCCACTAATAGACGGATATACAGACAGGCAGATGGACAGACGGATAGGTAAACGGAATGATAGAGAGACAGACGGAACAGAAGCGGACTAGTGGACCGCTAGACGACTGACAGACAAATGGAAAGACAGACAAACATAGCATCAAGCTAATAGACTCTTCTGTGTTCGTGAACGAGTATAAATGCTAAAAATGACTAGCAGCAATTAGCTATTATAAAACTATATAATAATATAGTTCTCAATCAAAATAAGATATTTTAAAAGTATTGAAAACTAAATGCCGTCTCTACGCAAGACCTCGATATATTAGCGACCAAAGTTTGTTAGCCACATCTGTGATAGACAACGAGCACAATCTCAATGCGCACCTAAGAACCATAAGTAGAGCTCTAGAAATATGCACTGAACAAGTAGGAACATAGATGCAAATATTTCAGATAATAATACTAATACTATGGAACTTTAAAAACAAAACGAAGCTTTAAGCCGTGACCAAGAGTGAAATGAAAAATGAAAAGTGAAAAGAAAATGAAACAAAGTACCTATATATATGATATGATATGTAATATGGGCAACTTGGCAGCGTGTGATACGTTCGGTGATATATGATTTATGCTTTCCTGCCTTCCTCTGCTGTCACTTTGCTATTGAATTTCCATTTCGATTTTCAATTTCCATTTTCAATTCAAAACTCAATTTAAATGTGTAATAAACAAATTAAGCAAATGTTAGCTTAACTATATATTGATGTTGTAAACTATATACACACACCTATATATATATATATATATATATATATATATATATATATACATTTCTGTTTATATATATATATATTCACATATACATAAGTAGCAATTAATATTCCATTTATGTGCTTTGTGTTGTGGCACGCCAATTAAATGTTTTAATCCTTATATAAAGAAAGTCAAATACATTTATCGGAACATTCTCTAGAGTCTTGTATTGTTACCTCTTTTAATTTCAGTTAATGTGCTTATTGTTAGACATACATATATGTCACATATACACACATACACAGACTCACACGAACGCTTGGCTTGAGTTGAATTTACATAAATGATATGCAGGCACATATTACGTATACGCAGCGCTTGGTCGCTTTTTGGCCTAACAGCTGAACTCATATATTAACATAGAATATATGCCATATATACATACATACATACATTTACACCCACTCATATATATGTTTGCTTCAATTTGAAAGTATCATCAAAATTGTGTTAAATAAAAATATTACGTATACGCAGTGTTGCTCGCTTTGCCAATATGTGAGCGGTTTAGCAGCATATACATATACACATGCATATATATACAGACACTCACATATATACACCTACAGTCATGCACACACATGTCTGCCTTAATTTGAAAATATGAACCAAATTGTATTACGTATACGCCGCATTGGTCTCGCTGTTGCCAGTTTTTAAGCGCGCTTTACCGCCACACACACATACACACACGCATACACATATATATGTTTCTATATATGCACATTAACACAATTATTGAAAAAAAAAAAGAATTTACAGCAACTAGCAAAAGGTAACGTAATTAATGTCAAATGATGTTTAATGCTATTTTTTCGTTCTACTCTTTCTCTATTTGTCTCAATTCTCGTTCCATCTCTATCTCTTTTCCTCCCTCTCTCTCACTCTCTATCTATTTCATTTTCCAATGCACACACATACTTTCTTTCTTTCTCTTTCTCTCTCTATATCATTTCTCTATCTCTCCCTCTCTTTCTCTCTCTCTCTCTCTCTCTTTCATATTGCATTGACTCAAATTTCTTTATCATGCTATGCGGCCTTGTAGAACTCAAAGATGGTTGGGACAGCATTGAGCTTATACCGAATATAATACTTAATCCCGGTTTCAGTGAATCCGACGGACCCAAGAGCGTGCCGCCATTCACGCGCACCGTCATCTTTGGCCACAATGGACAGCCCTACAACGATGATGATGATGACGACGAGGAGGAGGAGGACCCGGAGCCGACTATGGAAAAGTTTAAGCGTAAAGTTTCGGTATTCTTTACAGGTCCCACCATCAAACGTATTTGAGAGTACAAAGTGCAATTTACTGGCTACGCCCGTTCAGATATATCCAGGTTGTTTTTGATTGTGCTACGGTTAAACCTAAATTATATGCGCACATACATACATACTCGCATACATTGGTACATCAGTACATACATCTGATGTACGTAGAGCTTATCGTTTGTGCTGCAGGCGCGATAATTTGATTTTCGGTTTCATTCGCTTCGACTATGCTATGTTATCTATCTACTGTTAATTGTTGAACAACATTTTTGTAACACGAACTGAACACCCCAATGAGAATGCTAAAAATAGCTCAGCTCGAATCCAAAAACTTTCCACATTTTCGCCCAAGCTGAGGGAGAGCTCACTCTGTAGATAAACGTGAAAGGTGTTAACAAAATGTTGCAAAAACCGAAATGCGAAGTGTTCAACATTTCGTGCTCATAGAATGTATTTGGGACAGGTTAACACACACACAGACACACACACACATACACACTGGTGTATTTTACATAATGAAATGACAAAAAAAATATTGCTGTGATATAAATTCAATTGAAGGACATTATAAAGATTTATTAATACTCGTATATAGCAAAATCAAATCTCGAGCATGAACACACACGCCCATACACACACTGAGAGAAATTCTTAGCTATTTTTGTTGATGTAGTAAATTACAGTTACAGGCATAAATTACATAATTGCTGAAAATAATTATTTCATGTAAATAATATATATTTATATATACATATATATATATATTGTATATATATATAAATATTTTTTCTTTTGGAAAATGTAGAAACTTTTAAGAGTTTTAAAGTATATATAGATAAATTTGTTTTTTTTTTTAAAGAAAATATTCAAAGATTTAGAAAATTTTTAATATATAAATATATTTTAAAACTCTAAAAAGTTTTCAATATTAATAAAATATATATGTATATACATATATATGTATGTGTATCTTCTTATTTTTCGAAAATTAATTTTAGTAAAACAACAAAAGAAGCTGCTCGCAGTTTCTATATAATTATGATTTATTCAAGTCCGATAATCAAAAAAAAAAAAAAAAAACTTAAAAAAACTGTGAATGAATTTTATAATTGAGCAAATATTTTGCACTGTAGCGCGCACCAAGATGAAGAAGAAGAAAAAACAAATATAAAATTATATATATACATGTGTACAGTGTATGGAGAGTTATATAAACCATATGATTTCAGCATGCTAGGAAAGAGTTTTTCTAAATATTTAAAACAAAATAAAATAAATAAATAAATTGCCTGCGCGACATAATTTACAGGAAAAAAAAAAAACATATATATCCATATATATATATGTATAAATTTAATATAGCTAAATTGCTTCCAAAACTTTAGTAGATACAAGCGAAAACAAACAATGAAATTGTTATTGATTTTACCTTTAGAAGAAACACGTTCTGTTTTCAATGAGAATTTTCCAATGAGCACATTGTATAAATATACTACATATATATATATACAGTATGTGTAGCTATGTATATTATGTAAATTAAGAAAGACTGTAGCTAACTGTTACCAGACATTTAGCCTGATTGCTATGCTTTATAACTTAACTGTATTTCAGTTCTACATTGCTCTCGCCTTAAAGCTAACAAAGTTATCAGCAATAGTTAAGAAATATCTTCAGCTGCACTTTCTGTTCTTCACCTCGAGAGGGAGAGTGAGAGCGAGAGAGGGAAGGAGAGGGAGTGGGATAGGGGTATCTGAAGTACTTCTGGATTATATATAGAAGCACGCTTGAGCCTTAAACTGCGCTTTAAGATGTTTACCGTTCCGTATATGCAAACAAAGAAAATAAAAAAGAAAAGAAAATAAACAAAAGTATGCTGCTCCTTAATCATAACTAAATCTGTGGATATAGTACGTAATCATGTACATATAGCCGCACTCAAGAGTTTCCAATTCCAATTAACTTCAAAGCTCTTATGCTTTTTGTAAATGACCATTGAACTATATTTAGAGAACAACAACAACCAAAATGGATTACAATAACAAAGCAAATAAGAAATTGAAAAAAGCAAATACAAACACACTTGCATATATACACAAACACACACACACACACACACTAACACACTCACGCAGATGAACAAATATTGAAATAAAGCGAAGTTTACACAAAAAGTAAGCAAATGTCTTGAAGTGTTTGAAATCTCTTTGTTTTTATTTATTTTATTTTTATTTATTTTTATTTTTTTGATTGTTTGTTCAACTTCATTTAAGTAATTTATACTCTGGGAGGTCATCATTTACATCATCTTATCTGGGACAAAAAATGCATACATATACATATATGAAGGGGGGACAACCATGTGGCTGGGCTCCATGGGATGCCCAGTTCGCGTTAGCATTGATTAATCGTAATATGTAAAAAGCTTAGCTTAAACTTAAACGCACTTAACGAAAATGAGTGTAGCCGAGCCTAGAGCGCTACACTCGCCAAAGTATTTGCTGTCGAATCCGTAGCTAAACTTAACTTAAACCGTACACATATCATATCATATAATGTGAAGTGGGAATGCATTCCAAATCAAAACAAATCCAAACTGAACAAAATTCGTACGTCTGCCAAATGCAAATGCAACGTGTTAGGTAATTACATTCTGCTTATCAGATATATATGCACATATATACATATATATATGTATATATACTTATATTCCATATTTATATTTTATAGAATCTGTTTAGTTGTAGCTGCTATTTGGTGTCAACATCTCAATTATGGGGTCTGTGTACGCTCACTCGCCCACTAATAAACACTAATACATCATCATCATCATCATCATTATCATTATCATTATCATCGTCGTCAATTTTCATAAAATATTCTAGTCACATTTGCCTTGAGCCCCACCCAAGGGGGTGGGTTGTTGTTGTTGTTGTTGTCCATCTCACATGGACATTTCGGGCATTTTGTTGTGCTTCAAATTGATCTGCACACTTTGGGAGAACATCTTGATGATGCCGTAGTTATCGTTGGTGTATACCCTTAGAAAACTAGGCACATTCTTGTTCAGAAGCTCGTGACAAAATTGCGGATACTTTCGAAACGCTGGCTGCTTATCATCCCACATGGACAAGATGTCGCAGTCATCGCTGAAAACATTGAAACACACATATTAGCGCACGTATTCGAGTCAATTAGATGGTCAGACTTACTGCACTTCGTTGGTGCACTCGTGTAGCGATATGATCAAGTATTGTATTTTCAGCTGTGTATACTGATTGTAGATATCAGACGACTGCTGGCGACTGTACACCGAGTAGACGTGCTCCGTCCGCTCACTGTGAAGTAGTTGAGAGTTGGCATAAGAGCTTGAATTGACAAACACTCGAAGCAGGTCAACAACAATAAGAGACTTACGCCATTTGACGCATTTCGAGGTGTGCATGATTGACGATCGGCCGTCTGGTTGTCAAGTGCACGGTGCCAATTATCTCGATGGGTCCGGCGAAGACGGCATCGCGTTCCGTATTCAATTTGATCCACTCGAGCATGCCCTCCAGGTCATCCGTTGGCTGGTTGTAGCGTGTGGGAAAGTACTCCTCGCGTATATTCTACAAATGAATTCACTGAAGTCAATAAATATATAAACGAGAGAGAGAGAGAGAGAGAGAGAGAGAGATTGTCAGCTAACCACCATGCCGGGATCGAACATGCTGAGCAGGAAGACGGCCAGCGAGACGGACCAGAAGACGTTGCGCTGACGATGATACCAGATCTTGGAACAGACCGTCGGCGCTATCACACAGCCCTGCGTGAAGCTGAGAAAGAAGAGCTTGCGCACGGCCAGGCCGACCAGCGTGAAGATTAGCATCTGGATGAAGCTGTACAAGTAATGCAAGTTCAATATCTGAGTGTTGATTGTGGGCACGACAGAGTCGCGACGCGCTGCCGGACGGCGTCTTCCGTTGGCTGGCTCTTTGGGCTCCTTGGCTTTGGACGGTAATGTTTCCTCAGGTTCACTTGTTGTCGCTGTCGGCGGCACTCCAGTTTCAGTTTCAGTGTCAGTTTTAGTTTCACTTTCTGTTTCAGTTTTAGTTTTAGTTTCAGGTTCTATTTGGGTTTTAGTTTCTGAATCTGTTTCCGTTTCTGTCTTTGCTTGGGCGGGAGTTTCAGCGGTCGCCGGCTCTCTGGCATTCGATTCGCTGGCCTGTTCGCGCTCCTTGCGTTGCTTGTCACTGTTGCGATGTATCTGCGCCTTGAGCCGCTTGATGTCCTGCATGAAGTCATCACGCTCCGGTGGCTGCTCTTGCTGCATTTTGGCCTTTTCCCGCTTGTAGCGCTCGTAGTCGTGGTCGCAGCTCTCGAGCATGGCGAAGCATTGCTGGAGCTGCTGTTCGGTTTGCTTGTTGGACATATCGCTCATGGATACGTGGTGCTCCTCGAGGAAGTCCTCCAGCACATAGTTGCGAGCGCGCTCCCGTTGCTCCTGATTGGCCTTTGTGATGATGTTGCTCTTGCGCCACTTGCGGAAGAATGTGGCTAGCATGACGACGCCGTACATGCAGTAGGGCTTCACGATCAGCGTCTTGACCAACTGCCACAGCTCCGACAAGGCGACGCGCTCATAGAGCGGATTGCAGGCAGACAGATTGGTCACAAAGCTCACCTTCGTCTGCAGCACCCAGTATGCCCACATGTCGCAGTAGTGCACGTAGGTGTTCTCCTGCCAATTGAGCAGCCCCGACCTGTTCAGCATGTCCACAAGTTTGCCCTGCATGCTGTTCGCGAACAGCGGCGCCAGCAGCAGAAACTTCAACGAAAAGTAATCGCCTTGCTGCCCATTGCTAGATGGACGGCGGTTGCGAAATTGCCGGAAGAGCGTAATCATGAACATGCTGAGGGCCAGGCTCAGTTGCCAGGTGAAGAGCAACTGCGTGTTGCCGTGTGAGATCAGAAAGGCCAGGGCGTTGCCCAGCAGATGCGAGAGCGAATAGTCCAGGGCGAAGGTCAGCCCCACAGGTATCGAGCAAATATTCCACGAGGACATCACTATTAATATCTGTGTGGTGAATATATAGTTGGAGAACGGCCACGAGAGCAGGGCACAGGCCGTAAACACAGACATCGAGCCGACCTAGGCGAAGTGCAGTCACACAGCATTAATTGCGATCGATCACTGAATAATCTGGATGCTTACCATAAAGACGCGTGAGGTGTGCTTCTGCCGGTGCAGCAGCCGGCTGATGCAAATGCACAAATAAAACATTTGCAGGAATATAAAGGGAAATGCAAAATTTTCACGTGCCAGTGGCCGTTCATAGATTTTGCCAGCAAAGCTGTGGAACATCAAATATGAGATGACGCCATAGATGCCACCAAAGACATTCTCGCTGAGCAGCGTCCCGTACAAGTAGAGCACTAGCAGTGTGAGGCCGCCCATTAGCCAAACGAACTCCAGGTAGAACTCCATGGGCTGCAGGCTGGGATTGAAGCCGGCGCGCACAATATGGAAGATGTAGCTGCAATATACCAAAGGCAGATCGAAAATTTCATCAGTCAAGCCTCATGTGGTCAATCCCCATCAAATCATGCTATAGGTTGCCTTCTTCTTAATCTCTGTTAGTAAGCGATGTTGTTGGCATTCTTTTTCTTATTTGTTTTACGCTCGTATCAATTGTTTAATTAGAAAACGAAACTTCTATTCAAACAATGACTCACATTCCCAGACATAAATATTTATAAAATTGTGCATGCTATAAGGGCGTGGACATCGATCGGATGCGAGTGCACTTGTTATATTAAGTTACTTACGCTGTAACCAGCTCGGGAAGCACATAGAAACGCTGGAGCACATTGACGCTGTGCGGATACTCAATGTCTGTGACATTCTTCAGCTGGTCGTAGCCATGCCAGAAGTCTGGGCCATCGGCTAGCTTCTTGTAGAATGTGTAGTAGAGGGCATCTTCGCGGCGCAGCAGCGATTCGCGCTCCAATTGATTGAGATGCCGTATGTTGGTGCGCGCCTCGAAGATAACGCGCACATGGTGCACATACAGAAAAAAGAAACCCGAGCCTAATGGCTGCGTATTATCTCTGAAGCGGCCGGCGATTTTCAACAAAATCTACTTACCAATTAGCGCGTGTGATAAAATTACGTACAAATTGGGCTCGCGCATATTTCTGTCGTTTGTGTTGCGTCTCTCTCGTTAGTTCGATTGTTTATTCATAATTTGTGCTTGCGTCTATTTGATTAAATTAGCAGAATTCCCCTTGCTATGGCTGCAGCTTTTACCCGTAAACAAAAAAGTATTTACCACAGCTGATATTTTCGTTGCCATAAAGATGAATCAGCTGACACCATCGAATTTCACCAGCTGTGCTATCGATGTGCTGAAGTGTAGTATTTTTATATCGAATATAACGGATTTACAATTCTATACGATTGCATATTATTGAAATTGTTATCCATTACTGCAATTAATTATATATGGTCTTAATATAAATTGTCTAGCTTTATTTGATAAATAGTGCAGTATACCGCAAATTTAACGCACCTACTATCGACATCGTTTTTATCGATTATAGGGTGCACGATGATTGTGGGTGTTTGGTATTTTGCGAGAAATGTTTTGTTTTCAAATTGCAGTCACACTGCGGCTTCTTTACATTTCTGCACTTGAAGGCGCATTTTAGTTTTTTAAATAATTTTAATCAAAAGTGAGTTGTCTTTGCAGTCCGCTGACCATGGAGCGTTATTTGGTGAGCTCTTTGGTGGGCCAGGGCTCATTTGGCTGTGTGTACAAGGCCCAGCGGCGAGCCGACGACAAAGTGGTGGCCATCAAAGTCATATCCAAGGTGGGTTTTTATCATAAAATTCCGTCAAAGGCGAGGCGAGTGCAGCAGCTGAATACTAATTAGCAATTTCTTTGCAGCGAGGTCGCTCCAATCGTGAGCTGAAGAATCTGCGGCGGGAATGCGACATCCAGGCACGCCTCAAGCATCCCCATGTCATAGAAATGGTTGAGTCTTTCGAGTCCAAATTCGACTTGTTTGTGGTCACCGAATTTGCGCTCATGGATTTGCATCGATATTTGTCTTTCAATGGTGCCATGCCCGAGGATCATGCACAGCGTGTTGTCTGCCATCTGGTGTCCGCGCTCTATTATCTGCACTCGAATCGCATACTGCATCGAGACTTGAAGCCGCAGAATGTGCTTCTGGACAAGAATATGCACGCCAAGCTCTGTGACTTTGGCCTGGCACGCAATATGACGATGGGCACCCATGTCCTCACCTCCATAAAGGGCACACCACTCTACATGGCACCGGAGCTGCTTGCCGAGCAGCCATACGACCATCAGGCCGATATTTGGTCATTGGGCTGCATCGCATACGAGAGTATGTCCGGACAGCCGCCGTTCTGTGCAACCTCCATACTGCATCTTGTTAAGCTCATCAAGTACGAGGATGTCAAATGGCCCAGTACGCTAAGCAGCGAGTGCCGCTCTTTCCTCCAGGGCTTGCTCGAGAAGGATCCGGGGATGCGCATCTCATGGACGCAGTTGCTCTGCCATCCATTTGTCGAGGGCAAGCTGTACATACCCGAGGTGCAAGCAGCACAGACTTCGCCCTTTATAAACCCCCAACTGGCCAAAGACACCAAATTCTTGCAGCAATCTCGGTGTGTAGTCAATTGAAAGTAACGTAAACCCCGCTAATCCTTCAATTTTATATAGACACAATGGCGTGGATTTGGGTGAAGTATTAGCAGCTCTTAAGTTGAGCGACATGGTCAACGAAAACTTGAGCACCTCCCGGGATAGCATCAATGCCATTGCGCCGAGCGACATTGAGCAATTGGAAACGGATGTTGAGGACAATGCGCACCGGGTAATCGTGCCATTCGCGGACGTTTCCTATCGAGCCTTGCCCAGCAACACAGCAGCCGTTGCGGCTGGTGCCATGCCACTGGTCAATTCGCAGACCTGCTTTGTCAGTGGCAACTCAAACATGATACTCAATCATATGAATGACAACTTTGCCATCGAAACGCCGGCCGCCAGCGCAACGAAATCGATGAAGTCCAAGCTGAAGATGGCGCTCAATATTAAGCAGTCGCGCAGCAAGGACTTGGAAAAGCGCAAGCTCAGTCAAAATTTGGACAACTTTTCGCTGCGGCTGGGACAGAGCATCGATGCAGAGGCGCAGCGTAAAACGACTGAGATGCTCACGCAGCAGACGCAAGCGCAAGTGCAGGCGCAGCAGCTGAATGAGAAGAAGGTGCAGCAGCTAAAGCAATCGATGCATTCGAACAACGATGAGAAATTGAGCAGCGAGTTAGTGAATCAATGCGGATCTGAGGTCCATTCATTTTCAAGAAATCTCTCCTTGTTTCAGGAATTCACCTCCTTGTCTATTGCCCGGCTGGGATAGCTGCGACGAATCTCAGAGCCCACCCATTGAGAACGACGAGTGGCTGGCGTTCTTGAATCGCTCGATACAGGAGCTGCTCGACGGCGAATTTGATTCGCTGAAGCAGCACAATCTAGTCAGCATCATTGTGGCACCGCTGCGCAACTCGAAGGCCATACCCAAAGTGCTGCTGAGCGTTGCCCAGCTGCTGTCGCTGCCCTTTGTGCTGGCCGACCAGCATCTGGTGGCGGAGGCCATCAAGGGCGTCTACATTGATGTGAAGCTGGTGCCCAATTTGATGTACGCTTGCAAGCTGCTCCTCTCGCAGCGTCAGCTAACCGACTCGGCTGCCTCGCTGCCCGGCGCCACGGGCGTTTCGCTAAGCCGCACGCTACGCAGTGTCTCCGACCTGACAGCGGAGGAGATGAACACCGCCTGCAGCTTGTACGAGCTGGTCTGCCACCTGGTCCATCTGCAGCAGCAATTTCTCAGCCAGTTCTGCGACGCAGTGGCCATACTCGCTGTCAACGACATGTTCATTAGCTTCCTAACTCACGGTAAGCCAGTGGCAGGAGTGGACGACAGCGATCCAATTCTAACCATTCCTTTGTCGTTGCAGATTTCAAAGACAGCAGCGCGGTACGTTTGGCCAGCTGCATGCTGGCCCTGTTCTGTTGCGTTCTGCGCGAGCTGCCCGAGAACGCCGAGCTGGTCGAGAAGATTGTATTCGATTCGCGCCTGCAGCTGGTGCCGCTCTTGCAGAGTGAGCATCAGTTGCTGCGGCAGCGCGCCTGCCAGATGCTGTTGCTCTTGGCACGCTTCAGTCTGCGCGGCGTGCAGTGCATTTGGAGTGGCGAGCTGAAGAGCGCCCTGCAGGCGCTGGCCGAGCAGCAAACCTGTCAATCCCTGCGACTGGAGGCCGCCCAAACGCTAGAGGAGCTCAGCCAGTTCAGCTTCTTCGTTGCCCAGGCAACTGCATAGTTTTTTTTATTACTCAAATTACTTGTATTTGCTCAATAAATCGTAATCCATGTCTAGCCAAACAGACCCTGCAGATTGCCTTGAAAATAGTCGAGCAGCTCGTCCAGATAGCTCCCAAAGGCATCGAGGCCCAGCAGATCGCTGCTGTTGCAGTCCTGTTCATACATTTCGTTCAGCTTGGAGATGTCCTTCTCGGACAGGCCGCGTCGTTGGCCCAGCGAGGCGTACGGATCCTAGTTAAAATAAATACAAGTTATTATTAAAATTTATATATTATTTCATTCGATTTTGTTTTCCTCACTTTATACTCATATATACATATATCTAATCTTTCGTTCTAAAAGTTTATTTAATTTGATTTTGTTCCCTTGCTTTGTAGTCATATACATATACCTCTATAAGTTTATTAGCTTTATATGTAGACATCCATTTACATATCTGATACCGATAATAAAACTTACATTATCTTTAATTTTCTCTCTCTTCTAATTCCAAATGCTAAAGAAAAGCATTTTATCCTAATTATATTTATAATTATCTATAATTATAATATTGATATTTATTCTTGTTATTCGAACACCTCCAATCGCCTTAAGGGTTCCTTAGAATACGTGAGAATTGCATAGGAGAGAATTGGGTTGTAACATAGCTATTTTTCATTTCTTTTTCAGGGATTTAGATCTTTTGACTATACTAAGAAAACATTTGTAGCTTTAACTAAGAATCTTTCTTAACCTTCTTTCCATTTTCTTTGTTTTCCCTTTTCATACTTACTATGTATTTCTTTCAGTTCTCTCTCACTCTATATGTCGCTATCATATCTCTCTCACCGTAATTCGTTCTCACTATATCTTACTATCTCTCTCTCTTTCTCTCTCTCTTTCTCTTTTCTCAATCTGTCGTCATTTCACTCTGTTTCTCATCTCCCTTACTCTCTCTCTACCCCAAATACTCCCTCTATCTCTCTCTCTATTGTCTACTCCTCTCACCCATTCGCTAGCTCTACTACTCCCCTCACTCATCCTCTCTCTTGTCTACTCCCTTACTCTCTCTCTACCTCAATTACTCCCTCTATCTTTCTCTTGTCTACTCCTCTCACCCATTCTTTATCTCTCAATTACTCCCTCTATCTCTCTCTCTCTCTTGTCTACTCCCCTCACGCATCCTCTCCCTCTTGTCTACTCCCCTCACTCATCCTCTCTTTCTTTCGCCTTTTGCCTCCCTTACTCTCTCTCTACCTCAATAAGTCCCTCTTTCGTCTACTCCTTCTCACCCATTCTCTCTCTCTCTATATATTATATGTAAATTATTGAGTCTACAGATGCTGGATGAAATTGAGCTTTGCTAAAGCTGCAGCATTTTGGATTAGAGACTTGAACTAGAAATCATTTACCAGCGGCTCAATCGTGGGCTTTCCATTCTTGCTGAACGCCAGGGAGCTGTAGTGCATGACGCTCTGATAGTCGTACTCGACGCCAAAGTTGGTGATGTGCGTGCGGGCGTACTTATTGAAGTTGTGGGCGTGCCCATCCAAGATGTTCTCCCAGTTGATCTTCACATACTCGTCGCGCTCGGTGGCGCTCTGCTGGTGGTAGAAGCCCAAAGCGTGCAGCAGCTCGTGAACGATCACGCCGTGAGTGACACATTTGGGCGTATTGAGATTGAGTATTTGGCCGCCCTGCCGCCGGCCGACGCTCGACCAGCAGCCGGAGTAGTTGCCCTTGATGAGCAGCCAGTGCTTGTCGCCCTTCTCGTATGGCCGAAAGCGAATGCAGGTGCGATCGTGATACTCCTTGAACGCCTTCAGTATGACCATTGTCTGGTTGGCCGCTGTCCCAAAGCACCTTTCAAACTTCAGTTATCGCATTGGATGTGCATTTCTTTGGCTACTCACTGAAGTCCTCGGCGTCTATGTAGAACGGCACGCCGGCATCCGGCCACGTC